GGGGGGGGAGGGAGGAGGAATGGGGTTCGGGGGGGTGGGGGGCCCTTGCGTGAATGACTTGAGTGGCATGTGGGTCCGCTGCCGCGCATGTGCCACATGTGAATCGGCATGAGCTCTTGAAGTTCCTGGTCATCACTCCAGACTCTACTTCCTGATCCTCCATCCACGCCTTAGCCAGGGGGGCCCCCGCCTTTAACTCCTCCATCCCCCTCACATCCAAAACAGGTGCATGTGCCATGAGTGCGCGCAGGAGCTGCGCAAGCAGACGAGCAAGTGCCCCATCTGCCGCAACCATGTGGAGTCGCTGCTGCACATCAAGATGACCAAGGGCGCCCGGCGGGCGGCGGCGGCAGCGGTGGCGGCGGCGGCCGCGGCGGCGGCCACGTCGCCGCCCCCGCCGGCGCCCACCGCCGGCGTGCCCGTCAGCACGCCTCCCGTGGCAGTGGCCGCGACGGCACACTGAGACCACCCACGCTTGAGCTTGAATGTCGCCCGATACTGATGCGCGGGTGATGCATGACGCCCTACCCCTGCCTGTAATGTATATGCTGCTGTTGTACTGGTTGTGGAGCATGCCGAGGTGCTCTCACCCTCGTCAGCCATGTCGTAGGCGAAGGGTGGGCTGGGACGACTGCATGCATGGCTCAAGGATGGGTGCAGGGGCGTGAGCTGCGGCCGTGCGGGACATGACCACCGAAACCCTCGATCCAGTCAAGAACTTGGTGATCGAAATCCCTGATTCATCATCGATTCTTGGAGATCGTGAACGCTGTCTCCCTGGATCGTTTGTGCTCGGGATCGTGGGAGCTTTGGTCCATCGGGGCCATGGCCTCGGCACGGAGTCCTCGGGACGACAAGCTTGCCGACGACCTACTGGAGTACATCAATGACAGCGACACCCAATTCCATGCCGTCGAGCAAGCAAAGGCCAGGCTGGATGCCGCAGGGTACATGCGCCTCAGCGAGAGGCAAAGCTGGGACGGTCTGAGGCCTGGTGGGAGGTATTATTTCACTCGCAACGACTCCACGCTCGTGGCCTTTGCGGTGGGAGCCCGGTACGAGCCGGGCAACGGCTTCTACATCCTAGGGGCCCACACTGACAGGTGGGCTGGCGTCAGAGGAGCAGCTTGAGGAGGTTGAGAGGGATTGCAGTTGTGGTGGGAGGACCAAGCACAGAGCGCTGGTGACTTGCACCCTACACCTTCCCTCCCCCACACATGCAAACGCTTTCGCCTGCTGCAGCCCCTGCTTCAAGCTGAAGCCGGTGTCCAAGTGCACCAAGAGCGGCTATGCCATGGTGAATGTGGAGCCGTATGGCGGCCTGCTCCAGCACACCTGGTTCGACCGGGACCTCTCAGTGGCGGGCCGCGTGCTGATCAGGACAGAGGAGGGGTCCATGCAGCATAAGCTCGTGAGGCGGGCTTGTAACTTGGGATTTCGCTCTCAGTCCCCCATCAGTGCCAGCCGGGGATTCGCGTCCCCAGCACTCGACGCCGGCATGCCCCAGCCCAAGGGCTGTCGAGCGGCTCTACACTGACTGAGTTGAAGCCTCGAATACCTCTGGGTCCCTGCAGGTGAAGGTGCCCGAGCCCATACTCCGCATCCCCATGCTGGCCATCCACCTCCAACGGGATATCAACTCCACAGGCTTCAACCCCAACAAGCAGACAGAGTGCACGCCACTCCTGGCCCTCCAGGTGAGCAGGGATCTGTGTGAGGAGCAGGAAGGGGCGAGCAGCCGACTGTGGTGGAGACGGGGTGCCTGGGGCAACCGCATGACGCAGGACTCAACGTCGCCTGCCTGACAGTGAGTACCCACTTGCCCCCCCCCTCTGGCCATGCCAGGCTGCCCTGCAAGACAGCGAGGGCCCCGCAGTGTCAGAGGGTCGGCACCACCCCTGGCTGCTCCACATCCTAGCCAAGGAGCTGGGTGTGAGGCCAGAAGACATCGTCGACTTTGACCTCAACGTGATCGACACGCAGGCTGGCGTGATCGGGGGTGCGTCGGGCGGCAGTGGGATGTGGGTTTGTTCATGCTGGCTGTGGTCGTGGGATCTCGCAGCACTCTGGGAGGCGCAACTCGAGAAAGGTGTAAGTGGCTAGAACTGCAGTGTGGGCGCGTTTCATAAACATTCCTGGAGCCTCCTCAGCCCCTGAACTCTAGCGTCCCTTACTTCGCTCCCGCCATCCCACCCACGCCGTGCCTCTGTGCCCCAGGCGCGGAGGGTGCGTTTGTGTTCGTGGGCCGGCTCGACAACCTGTGCAGCTCGTACCTGGGCCTGCGGGCGCTGCTGGACAGCGACGTCAGCCTGGCGAGCGAGGCGGGGGTCCGAGTGCTGGCGCTGTTTGACAACGAGGAGGTGGGGTCGGCCTCGGCCCAGGGTGCCGCGGGCCCGGTGCTGCAGGACACCATCGCACGCGTGGCGGCGGTGCTGGGTGGGGGCGCAGAGGGGGCGGTGCAGCGCGCCCTGCAGGCCTCCTTCCTCCTCTCGGCGGGTGCGGCGCTTGGGGCATGCATGCGGGAGGGGAGGTGTAGGGTGGAGCAGTTCATCATGGCTGGAGGGGACTGAGCCAGCAAGGGTATCTTGGAATGTCTTGGTGTGGGGGAAAGAACTTGAGAGCGGGGCAGGCAAGGGTTTTTGCTCGGTTGCAGGCCCTGTCCCACCAATCGGGATTCGTAAGCCAAGCTCCTGCAGGTCTGACGGCATTGTCAGCCTTTGGTCACGTTCAACTTCCCATTTCCCCAAAGCACCTCCTTTCTTCAACCCCTCCCCCCCAAGACATGGCGCATGCGCTGCACCCAAACTACCCAGACCGGCACGACGCAGCGCACGCGCCGCGCCTGGGCGATGGCATTGTCCTGAAGCACAACGCCAACCAGCGCTATGCGACCACCGCCGTGTCGGCCACCCTCTTCAGGTGGGACCGGGGGTGCGGAGGGCTTGATCGCTTTGAACCATCCTTGGGGAGGGCAGCGTCGCAGTGCATAGGCCAGGAGAGGGGTCAGGGCTGGTGGAGTCCCATGAAGCATGGTTGTGACTGGGCTAGGGTGTGCTGTGGTGCTGGAGGTCCCCCACATCCAGTCCCCCTTCCCACAATCACCAACTCTGCACAGGGAGGTTTGCCGCCAGGCCGGCGTGCCGACGGCCGACTTTGCTGTGAGGAGCGACATGGGGTGCGGGTCCACCATCGGCCCCATCCTGGCCTCGGGGCTGGGACTCAGGACGGTGGACGTGGGCCTGCCCCAGCTGTCCATGCACTCCATCCGGGAGGTGGGTTTGGACGGAGTCTGGGCAAGCATGGGAGGCGAGGGGGGTGAGTGGTGCCTGGTCGAGAGGCAATGGCTGGTGTGGGGACTGTGGAAAGTACTCCTCTCTGTGTGCCGTCGCGCCGGACCTGCATCGGCCCCCCATGCCCGCGTCCGACCATCTCTGCGCGCTCAGATACCTCGCCGCCCCTTCTTCCTGGCGCCACAGATGTGCGCCGTCGCCGACGTGGGACACGGCTACAGGGCTTTCCTTGCTTTCTACCAGACCGTCAGCGCCCTGGACGCCGCACTCGAGGGTGCCAACGCAGGCCCGGCATGATTACCACTGCCTGCACTCCAATCCATGGGCCAGTGGCCTGGGTTCTGACAAGCGTGCACGCATGTGAGACCGGCCAGCCGAGGCCGGCTGGGACACAAGGGAGTTGAGCTGGGAGGAGGGGGTTTGGACGAGGCCCGCCCAAGGGGCAGCAGTGATCCTGGGTCAGCCCCGGGGCAGGGGCCCAGCCGGCTTCAGCAGGTGCCGGTACTGATCCACGTGGTCGAGGATCAGCAGGCGCGGCCCGGGCGGCACGCGCACCTCCGCCAGGGAGCTGCGTGGCACGAAGAAAGGGGGAATGGAGAGTGGATGAGAACAATCGCCACCTGAGACTCTAGCCAGCACACCTCGGCCACGTTGCCCCGCCTGGCAGCCCGGATGGACAGGAACCCTGTCGCATACCTGGAGTCCCAGAGGCCGATGGTCCTGTCCTCCAGCAGCCCCTTCTTGAAGTTCCGCTCGTACTTCTGTGGAGGCGTGAGCGGGGACACTGGGGCTGAGGAGCCGGCCTGGGCGCCGCGCCATGTGCAGCCTCCCCCCTCCGAGCCCTGGGTGGCCGAGCCATCTGGCCAGCCCCCTCACCGACATGCCCAGCGTGTCGAGCATCGCCTTGACCTTCACATAGTCGTCATCGACGGCGCGGGAGCCTCCCGCAAATCGCTCACCCAGCTGCGCACATGGGAAGGAGGAGAGCATGTGGGTACAGCGCAAGCACGCACCGGCCGGGCCGACTTGGCCAGAGCCCCTCCAAGGGCTTGGGCAGCAGAATCTGGTGCCCAAAATCCCACACTGCTGTCATCACGCCATCTTCGGCATCTCCTCAACCTCCAGCAGGCATCAGACCCGCCACGGTACCTTGTAAAATGCCCCCTGGAACAGGGCGAACACCACGCCTGCAGAGAACGCCGCCATCAGTGGGTTGGCCGTGCCACTCCCTGGTTGAGCGCCGGGCTTGCCCATGCCGCTCACAAGGGAGAAGCACACCCCAGATCCAAAGGCGGAGACGAGCCTGGGAGGGGTGGGAGCAAGGGGGTAGGCGAGGGTTAGGGCTGTACGCACGCCATGCATACATAGGAAACATGGCATGGCCGGACCCGCAGCCCCGACCATCGTGCTAGGTGAGGTCTGCTGGCATGACAAAGACAGCACGCGACCCTGCCCCCTCCATGCACACACCTTGCCCTCAGCATGCAACTCACGCGTTCTGAACGTCCTCCACACCCCTGACACGCCGCATGAGCGTGCTGATGCCGGCGTTGACCCCGGTCATCACGGCAAAATTCCTGGCTTGCTGGAATGGGGTCCCAAGGCTCATGAGCTGAGCGGGGTTGCCGGCTGCAAGGGATGTGCATTGAACGGGGGTTGTGGTGACACGCTTGGTGCAGGAACCAGGGCAAATAGTTAGTAACCCCGCTTTTAACAAGGCACCATCAGTCTGTCAGTGCAGGCCGCTGACGCTGTCCCCTTTGTATTGCCCCCACCCAGCCCCACCTGCCCCTGGCGCCGAGGCCGTCATCTGAGACATGCTGCCCATCAGCGCTCCAAGCAAGGATCCCTGCGCACGAGACAAGGACATCATGGTGGCTATGAAGCAAAGCTGGGCGCCATTCAAGTATCATTTGGCAGGTGTTTCCCCCCTGGGCCCTCCCATCTCCTGACCCCACCTGCACTCCGCCAAAGCTGGTGGCCGACACGACATCCACCCAGATCGCTTGCGTTGCCGTCCAGGCATCAAAGTGTGCCTTGATGAATGCGGGCGTGCCCAGGCCCAGCTTGTGACCCTTCAAGAAGGCCAGTGGCCCGGTCTCGGGCAGCTGAAGCACCGACATCTGCGGAGAGGGCCGACTCCTCCACAACTCGATACCGAAGAATACACGCGGAAGTGATGCGATGGAAAAGGAGTGCACCTGATCGCCCCTGTTCCAAAATGCATGCAGGCAGGTGCCTCGCGTGGCCTGGGGATAGCTTGGCCGGGCGCGCGCGGCAGGGTCCCGATCTCCGCTGATTCGGAGGGGGGTTTGACCCACCCTGGCCGGCCAAACGGACCACCAGATGTTGAGGTGGTAAGCTTGATCCAAAGATGGCACCTGTCGGTTCTCGAGCCTCGTGCAGGAAGCCGACGCATTTTGCGAAAATAATCTTGACTGCTGCCTGCGTTGAAGAGTCAGTCAAGCACGGCTGGCATGGCTGCACCTGTCCTTTACCACCCTTGACCCCCACTCCCTCTTTCATGACGCAGTGGTGCTTCACATCCACGCCTCCATCACTTTGTGTACAGGAAGGCCGCCCCTGTCGCCAGGAACGCTGCCATAAGGCTGAAGATGCTGCCATAGTATGGGTACGCCTGGGCGGGTATGTTGTGGGAAGAGGGTTGTCGCTTTTGCTGTGTGCCTTGCCGACATGCTTCACCCCGCCAGGCTTGCAGGAACGCGCGCTGGCAACCCTGGCAGCCTCGTCGTCCCATCCCTCCACCAGGACTCCGAGGGTCCAGTTGGCTCACCCCAGTGCGATGAGTGGAGGGTTTGCACTGTGCCCCCTTCAGGCACGCTCACTCTCCATCCACCTCCCTCTCCGGAGGAAAGCTCCCGTTCCCATCCCCCAACAGAAACTGGAAACGAATCACCGTTCCCCACCTGGAAGATGAAGCGTTCGTACTCGTCGTGGGCGAAGGGCCGGATGGGCACCGTCCGGCTCAGCTCCAGCCCCGTCAGCCCCCGACGCCGGTAGCTGAGCACCCACTTGAAGACGCCGTAGGCGTCGGGTGCGGTCACGCGCGCGGAGAAGGTGCCGGCGCCGTCGTGCGTCAGCGTGGCGCGCACGTGGGGGTCCAGCATGGTCAGCTCCACCTGCACGTCCTCCGCGGCGTAGGGCGCCACCTCGCCGTCGGTCAAGCGGTCGATGCGCACCGAGAACTCCACCTCGTCCTTCACGCGGTAGCGCTCGGGCTCCACCTCGCCCCCCACCACGCGGTGGCTGACGGAGCGCACGATCAGCACGCCACGCTGACTCAGCGCCCAGCGCGCCAGGGCATCCACCGCCGCCTCGTTGGCGCTGGAGCCCAGGCTGTGTGGGATCGTGAGGGAGGGGGTGTGGGGGGAGCTGAGGATTGAGGCGCAGGTCGTGCACCAGGCATGGCGATTGAAGCGCGAGAGGCAGCGAAGGGAGACACACTTGGATGGAGGCTGGCCAGACCTCTGGGCAAATCCAGCCGGCGCTTGCTCGACGCGCACCTCTTCCCCTCTGGGCTGATGGCCTGCGCGCTGAAGAAGGCGTCGGAGAGCAAGTCCAGGGAGGCCGTCACCGCGGCGCGGGCGTTGTTGCGGGCCTGGCCGCGGGAAGGAGGGTGAGCTGGGTTGGGGTGCGCTGGAAATCATGCACCCGCACGAAGAGCTCTTCGCGGCCCTCTGGTCATCGCACTCCGGGCATGCACCACGTCACGAGCCTGCCTCTCGGCGCCTCCACCAACTTCTCCACACATTTTCTCTTCCCCTGTCGCCATGAGGTCCCCACTCGACCACCAGAATGCCCCCCACCTGGATGAGGGCCACGAGACCGACCCCCCGCCCGGCCAGGCGGGCGACGGTCACGGCCTTCCCCGGCTCGCCGCCGTAGGCGGTGGGTCCCGCATTCAGGGCCACAAAGGCCGTGCTGCTCTCCGGGGAGACGGAGAGGCCGGCGCCGGAGAACAGGACGGGGCCCTGGAGATTTGGGGGTTGGGGTTCAGCACCGGGGTCTAGGTTTGGCGCACAGGTTTGCCTGGCGGCCGGCATGCAGACTCAGGGCAGGCTGGATTAAAGAGACATGGGAGGAGGCCCTCTGTCCCGCCGACCACAAACATACAGGCAAGGCAGCACTGTCGAGCGTCAACCCTCATCCCCTTCAAATTCTCACGTGGATGCCGGCGGGGAAAACGTGGCGGTTCAGGCCCACGCTGACGTCAGCGTGCACAACGTCGTGTGCCGTCGCGGCCAGGGCGCCGTCGTACGCAGAGTGGTCCAGCACGCGCGCCTCGGCCGCGTCCACGTCCACCCCCAGCTCCGAGGCCAGCTCCCGCAGCTCCGGGCCTGCCGCCGGGTCCAGGGCCAGGATCACGTCGTGCCCAGCGTCGAAGAACTGGAGGACCAGGGCGACGTCCAGCGCCCCACCCAGGCCTGCGGGGGTGGCAGGGCGGGGGTGGTGCGGGTCAAGGGCATGCACATGCAGATTGTTGATGGGTGGGGAATCCATGCCCCCAGACACGGTGGGCCAATGGACCCACCGAACCCCCGGACCCCCTCACTCCTCACCCTTCCTGCCCCCTAGGATGACCAGCTTGTCGTAGATCCAGTCTCCCCATCGGACCAGGCGCAGGCTGGCGGCATCGATAGGCTGCACGTCCAGGTCGTGGCCCTGCGCGCGCAGACCCCCCAGGAAACGGGAGTGCGTCTCGGCCAAGCTCGGCTCGTCCATCAGGACCAGCACCCTGCTCTGGGAGGCCGAGGTCGCGAGCACGCAGCATGCCAACAGCATCAGAGGCATGATCAGTGGCCTAGCCATCGCCCTCGGGCGCCTGGGGCGCAGACGAGTACCCTGCCGGCACCTGATCACGGCCGTGTCTGATCAGCCCGCACCGGCGATCGGGCACCCGAATTTACTGGGAAAGCCTTTTGGGAAATGAGATCCTGCAACTGAGAGAGTGTGCGATGCGTTGCGGCGTCGGGATGGGGATGGCCCAGTACGCCCCTTGGTACCGCTGCCGTGGGGCCTGCCGCTCCCTCACACCCTCCCCTCTCCCCTGCCACCCGTCAACTCGTGCCAACAAGAAGTTGCACTCGCATCAGGCCATGCCCCCCAGGAGGTGGTACACCCACAAGTAACAAACAAGAAGATGTATTCGTGCGGCCCCGGCTTCCCTCAGGCGGCCTTCTGGATGACCACGGCGTTGGCCAGCCCCGCTTGCTCGATGCTCAAACCGTCGTCCTCCAGCCTGGCCGCCGGGAAGGCGGTGGCCAGCTGCAGGCCGGGCCCCAGGTCCGGCCGGGCCGTGCGCAGGAAGCGCTTGATGTCGCCCACGGTGTGGGTCAGGTTGAACTTGGCCACCAGCCGCCCGCCGTCGCTCAGGCGCAGCTGGATGGAGGTCGTGGGCGCGCTAGCGTCGGGGCCCTCCCAAGCCCCCCCGCCCGGCGCGGGCTGGCTGGGCGCGGGCGCAGCGGCGGCGACGGGGGCGGGGTCGGGGGCGGTCTCGCCCCCCAGCCGGTTGGCCTGGCCGGTGAAGGCTCGACCTTGGGTCGCTTCTGCCTCCACCCAGTCCTCGTCCTTCCTCAGCAGGTTGACGTTCACCTGGGGTGGTGGGGTGTGCAGCACAGGTGCAATGAATGGCGTGGGGACAGTGGGCTGCGCGCGCAGGGGTGGCCCAGGGTGCCCCAGGCTTGGCACGGCGGCGGCCTCAGGGTCCGCCCCCTGACGCTTCCTGGATGCTGCGATGGGAGATCGTGGTGCTGCACGGCCACCAAGCGCGCTGGTCCTCCCCCAAGATCCTCATACGCCCAAAGCGCTCCCCACCAACCCCAGCCCTTCATCCTCTGCCCGACCTAGCCACACTCACAGGCTGACTAGGATCAGCAGGCTCCAGCTCAGCGGGGCATTGACCCCGCATGATGGCCTGCATGAAGTCGGCGTTGGCCGGGTCGGCCATGGCCCGGCCCTCCCCTGAAGGCAGGCACGGTGGGGGAGAGGGTGTGCTGTGAGGGAGGAGTTCCCTTGGCTTCTAAAGCGCCAGCAGGTCCTTTCCTGGGCAGGCACACCGACGGGGCATGCCCGGACCATGGGGGCGGAAGAAAGGAAGGCGGCCAAGGGTCAGCCCTCCCTCGTGACCTGGGCTGCCGGGACAGGACCACCCCTGCCGGGGTGCTGCAACACCCCCAGCTGCGCCAGTACCCCAAGAATCCTCTCAGCCTTCTCCCCCTCTACCCACCGTCATCCACTCGGAAGTAGCCGTTGCGGTAAAAGTAGATGGCCACCGTCCTCACGGCCAGGGCCCCTCCCTGCGAGGTGCTGGGCCCAGCAACCCCGCCAGCCAGCGTGCGCCCCAGGCCGGCGAAGCGGGGGCGGCCCTGGACCGCGGGCATGTCGCTGGCGGTGCCCTGGCGCGCGCCCGCGGCTTGCGCGGCCTCGAAAACCCCTTCCACGTCGTCCACGTCCCTGGCGCCGGGCTTCGGCGCCCCTCGAACCACCTGGCCACTGTAGGTGTGGCAGATGTGGGAAGGGGGTTTAAACGGGGGGGGGGGGGGGGGCGGGGGCGTGCGCAAAGGTTGACAGCATGCTGAAGGGGGTATCCCAGAGTCTGGGCAAGTGGCGCTGCAGGGGAAGATATTATCCCCAACATCAAGCTGGACCAGCTGATCAGCATGGGGAAACCCACCCTACCTCTTCTCCCCGCCGGCGTAGTACTCATTGTGTTCAGATTCGTCGGCCTCCTCCAGGTCCGAGTAGTCGCTGAGGCTTCGAACATTGCGGGCCTGGCTGCTCCGGCTTCCAGAGGTGCCTGATGAGGCCCGGGGCCGGGTCGTCTCCTGCTCGCGCTTCTGGAGCAGGGCGGCGTGTGCGAAGTACTGCTCCACCGCCGCCAACACGTCGTTTCCAGCTGTAGAAAGGTGGCTCTTAGCCGTCTGTTCGTCCGAAGAGGTGATGGCCATGAACTGCTGAATCTCCTCCGGCGTGGCCATACTGATCGCGCCCTGTCGGTGACCAGGGCAGACCCGTCGAACTACTTGCTTTTTGTATGTGTATTGTTTACTTTATTCTGATGACACAGGTATCTCGGAGCGGGGATCGCGGACGGACGTCGACGTCGTCGATTTTATTTTCCCAAGTATTGGCTGGGGCCCGAATCTTGGTGTGGAGTTGGTAGCGTGCCCATCCTCCTGGGACCCATGGAGCACGATATCCACTCAGCGCACTGCTGACCTGACAGAGGGCCAACTCTCATCCTGTGTCATTCAAAACCTATGCAGCCGCATTGTCGAGGGGTGTGAAAACTAGGCCGCCGCGACGTCCTCGGGTCGGCGTGCCTCATGGATGTCATGGTAGGAGGGCACCAGTGCTTGCGATTTCTTCGCACCGCTCCATCGGTGGGCACAAGGTGCGAGCATGAAACCTCATGCGCTCCCTTAGGATGCCTCACACGGCTGCATAGGAACCATCCGCTCCGCGGCGACTTGAGCCATGGGGGGATGGGCCGCCGTGCGGCTCGCTCAATCCTCACATCAGGGACCATCGGGTCCTCTGCCATCACCGAGCCATCGACCAGCCCTCCCAGCCTCTCCTATCCAGGTAATGTCTTGTAATGAACAAATTTTCATGTCAAAAGGAAGGCCTGAGCGATGAACGGCTATCATTCGCCCTGTGTCCACTCCCACCCAGGTGTGAGTGCCAACGGCCTACAGCTGGCTGATTTCGAGGGATTGCGGGGCGTCCAGGCCACCCAGCCCATCCAATCCGGCGACACGCTCGTCAATGTGCTGGGACCAGCTGCAATCCGCATCCTCCCCGAAGACAGCTGTCCCTGCACCAACTTTGTCCGACCAGACTTTTGGAAGCAGGCGCCATGGCAAGTCGAGACCTGGTTATCTGGTACCCGGAATATATTTGTGACTGGAGATGGGCTCTGTAAGATATTCGGCTTGTTCTACGTTGCTCGACTGACGCACGGCTGCAGTTCTCCCGGCCCTCGCCCCTCCCCTGCCCCAGGTATGCCAAGGCTGGGGTGCTCCTCCTCGCGGAGAGGTCAGGACAGCTGCCACCCACCCACACGGCGTACCTCCGCCTCCTCCCGGAGACTCTGGACACCCCTGTCCTGTGGACTGACTCTGAGCTGGACTTGCTGGCCAACCCACCAATGCAAGAAAAGGTGCTTGCTCCATGGTCTGTGCGGTGAGGGTGGCATCACCTGCTTCCCAGGTCGGTCTACACTTCCATGTATGATCCTGCAGCCCCAACATCATCGGTGCACCTGCAGCACACATTGGAGTGCCCCGACGCTTCCCATCACGCGCCCGCTGCCGCTCAAACCACCCCCATGCAGATCAAGCAGCAGCGGAGGGAGTGGGCAGACCTGTACACGGCCTTCTCGGAGGCCTACTGTGGCCCCTCCCCCGCCCCTGACAAGCAGACATTCCTCTGGGCGCTGCAGTGCGTCCGATCCAGGGCCTTCAGTGGCCCCCACCCCGGGCCGCCCATCCAGCAGCGGCTCGCGTCAGGGGCCGCGCTGTGCACGCTGGGAGCTGCCTATGTCGTCTGGGCGCATGTGAGTAAGGGGAGGGGGGGCGAGGGAGGGGATATCGACGAGCGGCTGCCTTCTTACATCTCATGCCAGGCGAGGAACGTCTGGGCGGATTCAGCTGCGCTCTGGTGTCTGCCCCCTTCAATGCACAGGTCCCGCTCGAGAGCGCGCTGAACGCCGCCATCGCAGCCGCCCTGTTCAACCTGCTGTACGACGTGCTCCTGTCGGGGCGCCGGCGCTGGTACGCGCTCCTGCCCGGGGTGGACTCCATCAATCACAGCAGCCACGTGGAGGTGCGGGCGTTTGATCCTGGGTGCCTTGTGGGGCCATGTGCTCCTGCCGGGTGGGCTCCAGACCCCAAGCTCCAGGCACCAGCTCATGTGTTCCAGCATAGAAACGATCACCTTGCCCCACCACAGAGTGATGTTGCCTACCGCGTGTTTGGGGACAGCTTTGAGCTTACGACGGGCTCCTCATTCCAGCCAGGGGAGCAGGTCTTCATCTCCTATGTACGTGGGCGGTTTGGGGTGGTAGAGGAAGTGGGGGACATGCCTGCTGGACACACATGCCCCCTGCGGTCCAACATTCATGATTACTATTCCCATGCGCCATGTCCCCCGGCACCACAGGGTCTCCAGAGCAACGACACGTTGCTGCAGTACTATGTGAGCAGGGGCTGGGGGAGGCTAGAATGATGTCATGGAGAGCTCAGGTGGCTGCACACACCCTCCAGTTGGTGCAATGAGGTCGGCATGGAGTGAGGCCGTCCACACCCTGCCGTTGCCCTTGCAGGGATTTGTGGAGCAGGACAACCGGCATGAGCGGGTGCAGCTGGATGTAGCCGACGGCGAGAGCCGTGCCCAGGTATGTCGGGAAGGGGTGGAGAGGAGGAAGAGGTTCATACATCATTTGGCCCTCCAGACATTCCGAGGAAAGGGTAATGGTGTTTCCAGTAGAGATCGCTTTCCGCTCCAACAGGGCTTGCTGGGCCCCGATGGCTCATTCCAAAGAGTTTCAGGCATGGGGGAGGTCGGCAGGCAGGCCCTCGTGCAGGCTGGAGAGGCGCTCAAGGCCCAGCTGCTGCTCGCCGGGAAGCAGAGCTCAGGATCGGCGGAGAGAGTTGCGCTGGCTGCTGAGTACCGTGCAGAGAAGATTCGGTGCTTGGAGCTGGCGATTGCTGCCCTCAACCGTGCTTTGCAGTGAGGACTGTGCATAGCTTGCAGTTGATCACACTCTGATGGCAATGTTACTCGGAAACTCAACCCTTTTACAGGTTCTTAGAGACACCCTGGTGGAGCAAGGCGTCTGGGCACAGTATTACACAGGATGACATGACATGGTAGTGGTCCATTAAATAATTTCATCTACTTCTCGTCATGCACCTTGTACAGCTCGCTCTGCTTCTTCACCACATTGTTACCCTCCCGCTCGATGTACACCGCTGGGTTGTCCTCGGTGCCGTTCCGGGTGATGTTGGTGCCTGGCTTGGTCTCCTTCACCAACTTCTCGGTGGAAGTCTCGGCAACATGGCCCTCCACCATGCCTGCATGGTGATCATGGACACGACATGCATGTGACAGGCTTTGTGAAAACTCGCCATGCCCACGCCCAAAAGATCATTGTATGAATAAACTGTATTATGGCTCAAACAGTAGGCCACACATGTTTCCGAGTGGGTCCCTGGAGACCATCTCACCTGCACCCCACTTCCAGGCAACATGGTCCCCCTCCTTCACCGGCTCGCTGCCCCGCTCCTCCGACATGTCTGCCGCCTTGATGTCATCCGTGTTGGTCATGGCTTGTGATGTGATTACTTGCGACTCATCATCAGGGCCTTCATGTAGAAATCATGCTCGAGTTCCTATTTGTCTGTCGAGTTCCAGGGCCGATGCGTGGCCCAGGATCTCCCGGCCGTAATTTCGTGGCAGCCGCAGGGTTGTTGCCCCCTTCTGTGGCTCTGGCTGCACGTGCCAGCCCAGGGACCACCCACCCTCCTCTGTGGCTCCCTTGCTCAAAAGGTCTTGTTGACATCGCACAGGGAAGGCCATGGCAGCGCCGCCCCCCCCCCCCCCCCTCCGCCCATGGACGTGACGGAGCGGGAAGGAGCTACAGCCATGCACAGGCAGGGGTACCATCTGACAAGGGTATGCGACAGCAGCGAGGGGGGGATTGTCTGGCATGACTATTCTTTGTTCATCGGCAAGGAATGGAAGCAGGAAATGCTGAAGAGTCATGGTGGGGTGCTCGATGCACTGCCACAAAGTTTGAAAGGTGGCGGGGGGTGGGGGGGAAGAGCTGGGCAGGTTGCTGGAGGAGGGCGGGGGGTGGGTGGGGGCACGGAGGGGACCGCCGGGGGGCAGGCAGCCTTCGAGGCGTCCCGCCGCTCAAGATGGTACCCCGCTCCCCGCCTCCCTCCCACACCCCCTCCGCGCCGCGCCGCAGCCCCCCGCCGGCAAGGTGGCGGGGCCTCACTTGGGCACGCGCACGATGGAGGCGCGCTCGAGCATGGCGGGACCGGGCACCATGGACCCGCCCACGCCGGGGATGCCGCCCGAGGTCTTGCCGCCCATGGACACACGCTGCTGTGCGGAGCCGCGTGCCAGCGAGACGCGGGACATGGAGTTCTTGTTGATGCCGACGCCGGCGGAGGTGCCCATGGCCTCCCCGCGCTGGCCGTAGAAGGTGGAGAAGAAGCCGCCGTTGCGGAAGCCCTCCTCGTTCAGGACGTAGAACAGGGCCCACTTGAGGGGGTCCAGGCCCATGTACCAAATGGCAGACCAGATCCAGGCCACGATGACGTAGCCCAGGCAGCCGATGACGGAGGCGGTGAAGGCGGACTCGGTGCCCTCCAGCGGCACCGCGCGCTTGTTCCAGAAGGGGTTGTGGTTGCCGGAGGACATGGTGCAGAAGACGCAGTCCTCCAGGTTGGTGCTCGGCTCCTCGTACCCATTGAACCCAAAGGCGGCGATCAGGGTGGACGCGACCTGGGCCACGAAGAAGGCCACGTACGTGAGCAGCCCCGCGCGCGACAGCAGCGAGTACTCCACGCAGCGGACGACAAACACCAGCGCCTGCCCGGACACAGACACCTGTTCGAAGGAGAGGTGGAGGGGGGGGCGGTTGCTAGAGTGTGTGTGTGTGTGTGTTGAGGGAGGGGCGGGGGGCACGTGGGGATATGAGAGAGGGAACTCTCATGGGGCCCTCATCGTGCTGGGCTGGCAAGGACGACACTCGCACACAAGGGCCTGGGATTGTCACACAAGATCCCCCTGTGAGAAGACGCGAGTGCCCCCCC